GGACTCTTGGGTCTCCTCAGAAAACCCGTCGGCTCCCCAAGAGGTGCAGGCTGCTGAGGTGTGCTGAGGGGCAGGGCCAACCATCGACTCCAGGCACTCAAACCCCAAAGAGCCCAGCAGCCTCCTCTCAGAAACCCACCCACCCACCCACCACCTCACCGAGTCAAAAGCAAGCCTGCTGCCTTGCACTCTGTTTTATTCATCCTGTGTGGGGAGCTGCTCCAGGGCCTGAATGACAGTTGTTTGTCTGGCTCTCAGATACTCAAGACTGATGGACAGAGGTCTCAAGAAAAACAAGGAACGTATCTGAGCCTGCATCATCCAAGAGGCAAAGGGCCCCCCCACACACACATACACTCACTCACATAGGGGAACCCACTGGCATGGAATCCAATCCCGGTCCCAACACTTTCTAGCTGGGTGACCTTAGACAAGTTACTTAACCTCTCTGAACCTCGGCTCCCTCTTCCTCTAATTTGCCTAGTGACAGCGGCTCTCTTTTAGCCTTCTTAGGAGGATCCGAAGAATGAGCAGGTCTAGCACTTAGTGTGCGGCACAGAGCTGCAGTTACTAAATGTGCGTGTAGCCATTATGTTTCTTTGTAATCTTTCTGGATCTATGGGCTTCTCTGTTCCAGGCAAATATCCATTCCTTCATTCCACATTGAGCCCCAGGTCTGGGTAAGGTCCTTTGCTAAATGCAGATGAAATCAGGGGGCCCTTACCACCAAGGATATCCCAGGATTCCTCTGGCCCCATGACCACAATCCCCTACTCCAGCCCATTCCTATGGGATTCAGGATAACCTCCCTAGATTGATCTTGTCCCACCACATTCTGGTCATGCCCAAACTCTTGAAACAGTGTGGGGCTGCAAGCACGCCTACTTCCGCTCAGGCTGTTCCTATCTGACAGGCCGTCTGTACCTGCTGGGTTCCTGGTGAACGCGCAGTCACCCTATAACATGCAACTCAGAACCACTCTAACCTTGAAGCTTTCCTTGAGCAGTCCTATCCCTGTATCAAAGGGGTCCCCTATATATTGTCTCTTGTGCTGGTGCGAAGGCCTGCCCACCGTGAACTCATTTTCTTGCTTTCCTTCCCAAATGAAACTGAAGTCAAGAAAATGGGCAGGGCTCTGAAACCGTTTCCAAACCCGAAGTCGCTGCCATTGAGTCAGTGCCGACTCATCGCAACCATACAGGGCAGGGAGGGCTGCCCCTGTGTGCTTCCGAGACTCTAACTCCTCACAGGAGTGGAAAGCCCTGTCTTTCTCCCACGGAGAGGAGGGTGGTCCCGAACTTCTGACCTTGCAGTTAGCAGCCCAATGAATAACCACTATACCATCAGGGCTCCCATTCAAAGTGGTTTAGCCATGGACGACTAATTGAAACCAGAAGAGGTCTGAATTTCTCTAGTCTGGGGACAGGATGCATAACGGGAATGTGACACAGGACGGGCCAGAGCCTAGAAGGGGCGTCAGAAGAGGTGCAGGGACTCCTTCATAAGCCTGAGGCAGGAGTCTGGGTTACTGGCGAAAATGCAGAAAGCAACACACATTTGAAGTCCCAGGGCCGGCTCCCACCTTTGAGCAGAGGAAGAGACTGGGTTGCTATGCAGTGCATGCAATGCCTTGAGAAGGGGATTACGTTTCTACCAGGACGGCAGCCTGTCATTTTCCCCCATTCTACTTATCATCCTATTGCACCCACATTTTAAAAATTCAAGACTGGTCCGATGTCCCTTCCTTGGCCATGGCTGAACCTGGCTGAACTGATGTGAAGCCCTGGCACTGGGGAGAGGGTGGAGAGGCTGCCAAAAAGGATGGTGGGAGGGGGAGCACCCTGCAGTCAGGGCAGCACCCATGGCTCTGCGTTAGAAGTGGGCATCAGAGGGTCTGGTTCTAAAGAACATCTGGAGAGACCTTTGGTGTTAGATGCCATGGAGGTGATTTCCACTCGGTGTGACCCTGTAGAACAGACCACCCCAAGGGTCCCCTAGGCAGGGATCATGCAGAAGTAGATCTCCTGGGCTTTTACCCACAGGGTCACTAGGTGGGTCTGAACCCATCGACCTTTAGGTTAGCAACCAAGAGCTTAAGCAGGCCACCACCAGCACTCCTGATGAGACCTGCAGTTTTTCAATTTTATTCCAAACTTCCCTGGTGACCAATCAAACTCCCTGCCATCAAGTCCATACAAGGCTTTGCAAATTTGTCGAAAGTCACCCCCTAAGTGACCTTGGTAAAGGCACCTGACCCATCTGTTTACTGGTGATCCTGTATTAAAAGTGGCGTTGATGCAGACATCAGACCAGAGGTCCTTGACCTTCAAGGTGAAACCAGTCTCCTCTCCTAATGTCCCCTCGTCCTGCCCATCAACACATCCTTCCCTGCCCAGGCCTATGACTGAGCCTCAAAATCCCCACCATTCCCCAAAGTGGCCTCAACAAGACCGGAAAGCAGAACAGAGACCTTGGGGCTGGATAAAAATAGACTACTCCAGGCTGGGTGCTGGGGTTGCCATTGTGTGAGGCAAACAAGGGTGGGCTCCGTCCTGAGGCCGCAGACACCCTGCATGAGCAAGACACCACCCCAAAGGACACTGAGAGGGGCTGGGCAGCGGGCTAGGATGGTCTCAGGGTGACTGACTCAGTTTGCCCAGTGGTGGCTTGGACAAGGGGAGTTCTGGTGCCCCTGTCAACCATCTCCCCTGTCCAGTCATGATACTGAAAACAGGGAGGGCTGCCTCTAGCTCACCCCCACCCTCCACTAGCATCTGGCTTGGGGAAGACCCTTGTTAGGGAACGCTGAGGAGGACCCTCACAGCATGGAAGCTGGAGAGTCACACAGACCAGGCTCACACGGCTGGCCTGCCACTTAAAATCTGGGCGCTTGCCCTAGAGTTGGCTTAGCTCTGGGGCTGGGGCTCAGCTGTTAGCGGAAGAATCACACCAGGCTCGCCGGTAGTAGTGAGGAACCACAGAGATAGAAAATGGACAGCAGTGAGCAATGTGCCCAGCATGCAGTCAGGGTCACTGAATGCCACCTGTTGTCACCAACACTCTGCCACCTCTGTCCCTCACCTTCCTGGTGACACCTCCCAATTACCCTCCTGCACAACTCTGTATGTACTCACCATGGTCCACGGCCTGCCTTCCTCCCTGCCTGCCTGCCAGTGGGGCAGCAGCTACAGCCGCAAGCCTGTAGCTCCCAGGGGCCAGCGCTCATCTCTGATGTGCACGACCTCAGAGGCCCACAGCTCAGAGTAACTCACAAAGCTCAAGTGGCCCCAGGGGGAAGGGGAGGCATGTGGTCAGCCGAAGGAATTTGGATGACCTCCATGGGGAATATTCAGGCCAAAGCCCACCCATACCCCATCTTATCTCCTCACCTAGTAAATCCAAATCCTCCCCCAGATCCTTCAACTCCCAGGCTACTGTGTGTCAACTTTCCACGTGAGGGAGCCACATGGTCCTCATCCACATGGCCCTCGCCCACGGCAGGGGGCCTTCTTGTCTGGTTCCAGGGACTCTGCTCCAGGACGCCGACGTGGAAGCCCTCCACACAGGCCCACTGGGTCCCAAAGGTGGTGTCACCTAATGGCCCCAGGGTCTCTGGAGACATCCCAGCCTCCAGGGGGCACTCTGCTAGAGACCAGACAGGGCTCTGCTCCTTCCGGGGCCCCTCTGGGGTGACTGGAGCACCTCCATATTCAGGGGGCAAACGAAGATGCTGAACAAGGACCCATCAGTCCAGACAACCAGTGCCGCAGGGCTTCACCTAGTAAGGCAGGTGGAGTACAATCCCAAAGATCTGACCCCAGTTCTACCAGCTGTGCCATGAGCCCACCACGTGACCAGGGGCAAGGCATGGCTGCACTCCGGCCCTCAGTTCCCCATCTTTGCGGTGGACCATACTCTCAGTGAAAGGCTAGGTAAGGGCCTGGAAACAGAAGTGGCCAGGAAGCTGGGAGTGGCCAGCACTGTGTTACCCTTAGTCATGGGGAGAACGCAGCAAGCCCAACAGACAGAACCCCCGTGGGAAGGAAACACCTCCAAAACACAGCCAGCCCTTTGCAGGAGGAGGCGGAGTAGGGCCCCTGGAGGAGCCAACCCTACTGTTATGTGCCCGGGGCAAGTTACTTGACCTCTGTGAACCTCTCAGACAGCTGGGGCATGTTCTGAGATCACCCATACACTCAATAAAGAACCAGGATTCCTGGGGTCACTGCTTCTAGGAGACAGAGGGAGGGGAAGCACAACGTAGCTGTGGGTCAACAGAGGGCAACTTCACTGAAGACGGAGTGGGCCTACATGGCTCTGGGGCTCAGGCCCAGTGTGAGCCACCCGCCCGACCTCCACCTATTCGCACAGTGCTTACAGCTCACCGTGTCCCCAAAGCCCCCACAGAGCTCACAGGCCTCCAGTTCCCCAGAAAGCCTCTCATTTCCGAAGGAGAGCAGGGTCCCCTATGGTCACTCTGAATTGCAGGAGAGGGGTTCTCTCTACTTCCTGATCCAGCATCCACTCAGTCAGACACAGACTGGCGCAACACAGACAACCACGGGCCCAGGGCAAGCGCCTCCCTGTGCAGACCACTCCACAAGCTCATTCCACACACTCCTCTCCTGACCCTGCACACGAGTTCTCCCCCAGAAGCCCATGAGCAACACAGCAGCTTAAGGATCCATTTTCTGCTTCCGGGCAGCTGCGGAGAAAGGACCCCTGACTCAAGTGAGGGACTGAGAGCCGTGCGGTGGGGCATGTGTCCTGAGGGGCAAGGTGGAGACAAACTGGCTGAAACACGGGTTGAGAGATGTTTCCAAAAAAGACTCGCTCTAGAACGCCGGTGATGAAAGTGGTGGCAACCTTCCCACCACAGGATGGGAGGAAAAAGGAAAAGAAATAGGTCAACCCCCCCAGAAAAGCCCATCAGCCACAGGCCCCACCTGTCCCCATCTATAAAGTCCCGCCGCAACACGTGAGGCGAGGGAAAGGCCGACCTGACAATTCGCCGGGAGCAGTGATGAGGGTGCTGGCGGGCTCCGTTTCAGTGTATGACAGTGTGGAATCGGATAGATCTGTGGGAGCAAAGACAAGGAGCTCAGTTGGCTTCAGGACACTCCCGTCCTTTCTTCTCCGTCACCCATGTGAATGCATGTGCCTGCCTGCAAAGGGCGGTGTCCTCCCATGCCATGCCATGATCACCCCAGACCAGGCACGGGGAGCGCTTCTGGAAAACGCTGACTCCCTGGTGGCTGGGGCCCCAGTCCCTGACAGTTTCAATGGCTCTGACCACAGAATCAACCCAAGTCCAGGGGACTGAGCAAGTAGCAACTTGGCGCCTCCTTGGTTAAGGTTAAATTAAGCCCCTGAACAATTCATAGTTGCTGTACTTAATTACAACCATTAAAATTCTTGAAGTTGTTCCTTCTTGCTTGCTTGCTTGCTTCCTTCCTTCCTTCCTCCCGCTGAAGGTGGGGAAACTTTGTTTTAACACGTTACCAGCCATCCTTACTCTGTCCCGTTTACACCCCTCTAATTAAGGGCTCCCGGATTTACTTTATGTTCCTCCCCACCACCACCACCACCAGCCTCCCCAGCCCTCTGACATCCAAACCTGCTCACAGAGCAAGTTTCAATGCCTGGACTGGTTTGTTTCTGTTTGTAAGTAGTCTTAAGTACTCTGCATGGCGTGCGAGGTTTTCCTGTCAGTCGTGCAGAGATGGGGAAGGGGAATTCTTTTGCACAGAGGTTCATTTACTCAAGTGCTAAGCTGCTAACTGGAGGAGCAATGCCTTGTGGGGCGGGGACACTTGGAACACTTTTCCTGGGCCTGGGCCTTTGCCTCTGCACCAGAAATGGGTGCAGAACCCGTGAAGAAAGAGGCCTGTCCAGGAGGCTGGAGGTGTGTCCCGTGAAGCCTGCAACAATTTTCACTGTCACCTTCTGACCCAACAGGCCCCTGGTGGGTTTCACCTCATTGGTCCTACCTGGCCCAACAGAGCCAGAGCCGCTCGGGCCCAGAACTCCCAGAAAAGAAGCCGCTACCAGCCTGGGCCCCGGCAAGCTAGAATTCCACTCAATCCTGCTGGAATTTTTCCTCTTAGCACATGGCTCAAGGAGTGGAAAGATGACACATTAACCAATTCGGTCTCTCGCTCTTTTTTGGTTTCCCACTTGCCAGATGCTGTTTGGGTGTTTGGAATTTGTTTTCAGGTCTCCTGTGATCACAGAGGCTGAGGCATGAACTGGCTTTTTGTTTATGAAAAAGCAACAATGCAGAAAAAGAAAACGACTCCCACAATCGAGTGGGGCATGGAGAAGCTATCTGGTGGTGAAACATGTTGAGGGAACCACACACACGAGGAAAATCTTTGAAAAAAGCAAGAAGAATCACACTGCCCGAGTAGGGCCTTCTTAGCAGTTCTGCACCTCATGCTCAGCACCCTGGGCCTCACAGCCACTTCTGAAGCTGCACCCCCAAGGGCCCAGAGCGATTTCCCGGTGAACTCCCCAGGAGCCGACACCCACAACCCGTGTGAGGGGCTTAAGAGGAGCCAAAAAGACAGGCACTGTACCCTTCCCCCAGGTCAGCCCAGGCCCATGGCACCCACACTGGGGTTCCTACTCAGGTTCCTACTCGACGTCATCACAGTGGCCGGCTGCAACTGCTGCTTAAACCCCAAGGAGGGACAGGAGGGACTCCCAGTCTGATGGCTGGGGCCCAGGTTCGAGTCCCACCCCCATCAGTCCGCTCTCTCAGGGCTTGGGGCAAGCTGTTTGTTCTGCTGTGCTCTGCCGCTGTGATGCCCAGCAGTCAGTGACGATGCGGAAATAAATGTGCTTAGCTGTGTTACAAGACTTAGCTCACTGCCATCTCGGGGCGACTCATGGCGACCCTATCGGACAGGAGAACTGCCCCTGCGAATGCCTGAGACTTAACTGTTCATGGGAATAGAAACCCACCTTTCTCCCGCGGAGCGGTTAGTCGTTTTGAACTGAATGGGAGTGATCTAAAATGATACCACCACCTTCGTGCCCCAGGCTTTACGTCCCCGTACATTATATTCTAATTGTCGTTTCTGCCCAGGTGAATGTCGGCTGATAAAAGGGGGCAGAATGTACACAGGTCTCCTCGACAAAGACTTCGTGCCCAACCTATTTGTCATCCCACTGATGAATGCCTTTGGAAGAAGAACCACCCAGGGCTGGGGGAGGGAGGGAGCAGAAACGAGATACCAATCCCAACCCAACTCCAGTGAGATGTTTCAGCCCATCCATCTCTGGAGGGTCCAGGCCTCCAGATCATGGGGAGGTTAGCACTGAGCGGCAGGCTTTCGACGAGTCAACAGTCCTCTGCAGAATCATGGTCTGCTCTGGCCCAACTGCTGGGGGGCTCAGAAATGTCATCCCACATCAAAGACCACCACCCAGCCAGCCCGCTTCCAGCTCACCCCTCCAGCTGAGGCTGGAGCCCACCGGAAGAACCCCCGAAGACACTTACCCAGTGGCTTGTACTCGTCACAAGGAGACAGCCGAGAGTAGGGTGGGGGTGGTGATTCTGGAAGACAGGAGAGACAGCATGTCACTGAGGGGGAGAGAGTTCATACCCTGCTTCACACCCCGAATGCCCTGTTTTTTAACTGTTTTCCTCAAATACCTCCTGGTCTCCCACCACCCCCACTGCCTGGATTCACTGGAACAGCGCTGGCCAACAGTTAAAGCCAAAGTAACATTGCTCCAAGGGTCCTATCCCTACACTCCCTTGGCTGTGTGACCTCAGGTAAGCTAATGTACCTCTCTGAGCCAATTACCTCAGCTCTAAAATGGGGATAATAATCACACCAACCACCCAGGCTTGCTGGCAGGGCCAAAGGAGATAACGTGTGCCAAGTGCTTAACGCGAGTTCTTGGCACATGCAGAAAAACATCTCTATAAACAGTAACTGTTACAGGAGGTCCTGAGTGGTGCCAGCAGTTCACAAGTTCAGTGTTAACTGCAGGGTGAGAGAGGTGCCTAAGAAGAAAGGCCTGGTGACCACCTCCCCAAACCAGCCACTGAGCCCCAGCGGATCCCGCTATGGGGCCTCGCAGACGCTGGCTGGATGGCAACTGGTTGCTTTCATTTGCTTATTTTGTCATAACATGAGACACTCGTGTGCAGGGTCAGTCCGAGCCAGTGTTCCCAGTAAGTTGGGCTTTTACTATACATCTCTCATTTTATATCTTACTTTTTAAGTACAGGCATCTGACAGTATTTGGGACCAAGTTATCCTCAAAAGAAGTTATGCATTGTCTATCTGAAATTCATACCTAACTGGGAAGCCTGCGTTTGTGATTTGCTAAATCCGACCATCCTAATGAGAGGCAGGAAGAGAAACCCTGGTGGTGCAGTGGGTTAAGTCACCGCATGGGTGAACGTTGCAGCTGTCGCTTCCCCAAGATTCACAGCCTGGGAAACCTGTAGGAGCAATCCTGACCCGTCCTATAAAGTCACTAAGAGTCTAACCTGATTTAGGGTTTAGTCAGAGCTGAGGGCAGAGTTCGTGAGGCTAACACACTTCCCCAAATGAGCTGCATTACAGCTAATGTGCTCCCCTGTAGGGAAGGGACACCCAGGACACGGCCCCCCTTCCAGCTGTGGATCTACATCTATGAGGTTTTTCTTCGGGTTGTCTTTCATTTGCTTCAAACCCTGCTCTCCTCAGAATCATAGACTCTGCCTTCTGAAGAATTCCTTAGCTTCTCACTTTGCAGGAAGTAACAATTTGCTAAACTAAGTAACAATTTGCATGAATGAAATGACCCTTCATTTTCCCTAAATGAAACTAAACGCCATCAAATCTTGAGCTGACACAAACTCACGGGGGTAATAGGGTGGTAATAACTATCATTAGGTGGGTATCAGTAATGACACAAGAGGTAATGAGTGTTTTTCACCATCGTAAGAGGGCGCAATTAGTTGGAGGAGTTTTTGTTTTGCTCCGTACACCTGATGAGGCTTCACCTCTTCACCCCATGGTCCCATCCATAGGTTTGTGGAGGTCTGGAAACAAGGGAGTCAGGAAAGGCAAAGTAAATCACAGCAGCCCCTGGCGGGGAAGCAATTATTTGCCGAGCTCCTCCCATGCCTGGCCCGCCATCAAAATAAAAAGAAAACTCATGGACATCTAGTCAGGCCCTCTCACGGCAACCCCCGAGGGCCGGTGGACGAGCCCCCGAGTTTCTGAGACCGGGGCTCTTCCTGGGAGCAGAGAGCCCCGCCTTTCTCCCAGGAGCAGCGAGCGGGTGGTGTCCACCTGAGCAGCCCAGTGCACAACCACTCCACCCCCAGGCCGCGCTCACTGCGGTTTTTTGTCTTATTCCTTTAGATCGCAGACACCGAATGGTTAATCACGATGCTCGGACAGCTACTTTTTACTGGAAACTTCCTCAAAAATAATTAAAGATCTAAGGTGGTCATTCCTAGCCCCATCTCACAAAGGAGAAGACTGACTTGCCCAGAGCCCACCCACTGCCAATCCTAGTGGAACTGAGACTGAGCCCAGACGCAAGTTTTGCAAAAATCTGATTGGTTGAGGCCCAAGTCACATGTGGTAGGGAGCTCTGGGCATTTGTCCCCAGATCTGTCCCCAAACACGAAACCTGGCACTGCTGGCAGTATGACAGCCACAAGTCAAGCCACTGACATCAACCCCAACATCTCTCCTGAGGCTGCTTTCCATGGGGCCCAATGACGGAGGGCTGGCCATGGGCTCATGAAAGCCCCCATTGGCTAGAGCCACCTGGATACCCACCACTCAAAGGCACGGCTAGCCTGGAGGGGAGGGGTGGTGGTCCTAATGTGAGTGAGACACAAAGAAAAGCTAAGGAACCCGGAATGTCTAACAGGCTGGTTAGTGAGGCACTACAAAGCTTTCAGGAGGGACTCCCCCAGTTCCCCCCACTTCCTCCCCCAAAACTGTGTGTAAAAAACTGTTTATAACTGTAGAGGCTGGGAGCTAATCAACAAATTCATTCTAGGCAAGTAGAAGACCAAGCAGGCAGCAGGGGCCTTGATTATCACCAAATACACCGTGGTAGTGTAGTAGGTTACATGTTAGGTTACCAACCGCAAAGTTAGCAGTTCTTAACCTGTGGCTGCCCGATTTGTAACAGTAGCAAAATGATAGTGATGAAGCAGCAACAAAAATAACAGTTATGGTGGGGGGGGGGTCCCCACAACATGAGGAGCTGTAGGAAAGGGTAGGGGCATTAGGACAGCTGAGAGCCACTGCCTCCAGAGAGTGACAGTCTCAGAAACCCACAGGGGCAGCCCTACCCTGGTCCTTCACGGTCACTGTGAGTTGGCATCAACTCAATGGCAGCGGGTTTTTTTTGGATTTTGGTAATGCTCTCAAGGTTCCGTGTCTATGGTGCATAAATACTTGTTCCTTTTTATGGCTGAATAATATTCCATTGTATGAAACTTGGCATTTGGTCTGCTCCTTCTTTTTAGCTATTAATGTAATAATAATACAATAATGCTGCCATGAATACCCAGTAACCCTAAGCGCCCCCCTTCACCCCATCCCACACAGCCAGCCCCCTGGGAGAACGGAGTCCGGGGGCCTTCACAAAGGCAGGTAAGGTGGGACCCTCAGAGAAAAAACAAAAAATCAGAAGAAAAATCGAGTGGCCCACAGGTCCCGGGTCCGACGGCAGTTCCCCAATCCTTGCAAAAGTTGTGTTGAATTTCAATTAACTTATCTGCGAAAAACTTTTAAGAGGTACATGAACTCCCAGAGCCCAGAGGACTCTTCCGAAATGAGCACGAGAGAGAGACAGACAGATAGACAGAGACAGAAAGACTGTTCTGACCCCCTCAGGCATCAACTTCCCAAATCACCTCCAACTTCCTTCCGAAGCAGCAGCAGCAGTCAGCCAGGGGCCGAGTATACCAGTAGGCTAGCTAGAGCTCAGCTCAGCTCAATCCAGATGGGCCTCTGGTGAGCCCCCAGGGAGTACCTTAGCCTTTTGGGATCAAGACCTTACTTCGAGAGCCAGAAAAAGAGTTCACAGCCTCTCCCACTGCCTGGAAGTTTCCATTTGGGACGTTTCCCTTCACCTCCATCTCTGCAGCCCAGCTTGCTTTTAGTTACGGATCCACACCACACTCCTTCCCGCCAGGGCCCCCGGGTTCAGCTTCTCCCAAGCTGCAACCATGCACGGGGAGGGGGCTTCCCCAGCCCGAGCCCCTCCACCACCCCAGGCCCAGGCTCAACCCCAAGTCCCTGGGTGGGAGCCTTGAAAAAGGAGCCCCTGGCGCTTTAAGGCGACTGAGCTTAATTGCCCAGAGTCCCCTGGCAGCCAGATAAACAGCGCAGCCGGCTGGCGCCAGCAAGAGGCAAACTGCACATTATCACCCCTTCCTCACCTCTGAGGAGGAGCACAGAGGAGCAGGACAGGCAGGCGGAGGGGCCGCCCAGAGCTGGGCAGGGCGGGGCATGGGGCCTGGAAGCCCAACTTGAAATTGATCTCATTTCAAAGGGATACAGCCAGGCCAAATACAAGGAAAACTTTCTAGCCCGTTCTAATTCCTCCAGTCCTGGCCTGGGAACCCTGTGTTTGCCTAGGCGGCCTCCTCCAGCCACTTAGAAGTTCTCTCTAGCTCTGTCTCTTTCCCTGGTGCAATTTGGATAATAGTAATTTACTGAATATAATTACAGAAAAAAAAAAGAGTGGTAAAGCAAAGAGCAGTAGATTTATTCCAAAGTTAATGGATACTTTCAGGAGAAAGGAGCTCTATAAACACAGGTTAGAACTGTGATTAAAGTATTTCTCCACATTTCCGTCCACATAGGCACCCACAGAGCTCAGGGAATTGGCTTTTCCTGGGACTGAAAGGCACACAGCAGGGAGGCAGAGCAAGAGCCAGACTTCCACAGGGCTGGGTGGCCAGAGGCTACATACGGGGCAGTGCTCAGGATAGAGCCTGGCCCAAAAGGGGGTGCTCTGCACCAGACCCTAGTTTCTAAAGCAAACCTGGCAAGAGAGAGAGGGCAGGGCATGGAGGACGGCCTGTATCCCCCTTGATCCCTGTACGGCAGACTGGGCTTTTCAGATAGGACCAGGGGAAACCTGCCCCAATGTGAGATGATGGGTGGAGCCCTCCTGGCTCTCCCGGCAGCAGAAGTCCACAGCGCCCAAGGAAGGGCCGTCTGTCTCTAGGGTGCCCCTGGGGAGATGGTAGGGGTTAAGTGGGGCCCAGTGGAGGTCTCCCCCATACTAGCTGTGTGGCTGCTTTGTGGATGAGTGTCTGCCCACCTCAGTGCCCAGCCCTCTTCCCCGGAACCCAGCGTGGTGCACAGCCTCCTTATCAGGACGCGCACCGCTGAGCTCCAGCTATGCACCCGCCCAGCCATGGGAGCCAGGCTGGCGGCCAGGCAGCGGGGGCGGGGTGGGCAGTGAAGGGCTCCCCCAGTTCTCAGTCCCCGAGGCCCAAACCATCAAGTAGGGGATGAAGCAAGAGGATCAAGCTGGCGCCTACTGGAAACTCCTCCCAGACCATTAGCGCTCCCAGATGCCAGAGTAGCCTGCCTGAAGGCCCATGGGCTAGTTAAGAGGCAGGGCGCTGCAGGACCTATAACAGCACCTCCTTCTGGGGGAAGGGGCTAGTCAAGTCTCCAGGCTTGGAGTGGAGCTACTCCCATTGACCAGTAGGGTGACTTGCCCCAAGGTCAGGCTGTTGGTTACTGGCTGATGGAAGCCAAGACTACCATGTCTATGGTTAACCATAACACTGCATCCTGTCCTGGCTCCCTCAGCCTCTATTTCTCCAAGTCCACCAAAGTGAAGCCACCCCTCTGACAGACCTCCAGAGATGGTGTGCCGTGGGGAGGGAGGAGCCTGCCTGTGGCTGCCAACTTCTTCACTCCTCCACTAGCTGCCCACCCCCGAGCTTGCCTGGCACTTGACTCTCAGCTGGGCCTTTCTCTCTCCTCTACCTCCCCATCCTCCAAGGGCGGGCTCCAGAGGGCCCCCTCTTCTGGACCTGGACCTATTACACACCCTAGAGTGCTTCTTGTAGTTTGGACCCACTGACCTGGCCTTGACCACTTCTCCTTCTCTGCCCCCACCTTCCCTATGAGATTATGTTTCCTGAGGGCACCCACCTGCTCATATTTCTACTCTGCCCCATACAGCAGAGTGCTCCGCACAGAGTAAGGGCTCAACAAATCTTTGCTGGTAGATGGAAATGGCCAGAGATCAAATACCTGCCAGGGCCTTCAAAAAGCAGAGGGGATACCCCTAGCCCCCATGTCCCACTTTAAAAAATTACCAGCAACAGAGCGATGACCAGGGAGGTTCCTTGCTCAGAATCAAGGAGGAGCTGAGGGGGAGGAAGCCATTTCCAGGGAAACAGCATGAAGCACAAGGTGTGGGCCATGGGTCAAAGCCCCTGAGCCAGTTCTGGAGTGGCCATGCAGGGGGAGGGATATCAGGGTCACCTCTTAGGAAGTATTGCTCCCTACCCCTCCACCCCCGCCCCACTAGTGCCCCTCTCTTCAGTAAGTATACCACCAAGTATACCACCCCCTCCAGCCACCACCTACACACACACACACACACACACAGAGCGAATGCACAGGACACATGGGATAAGTCCATGATCCCATGCTGATCCCCCACCTCACCCCTGAAAGTAGGGAGACCTGTGACAGGGCTCTCCAGGTGCTTCCAGGCTGGATGCTGGCTCTCTCCATTGACCAGACCCCAAATTAGGAGTCTTCCCAGGCCCAACAGCCTGTAGTAACCCTAACAATCCTCCCTACCCTATCCCTCCCTCTGCACAAAGAACCCACCAGTGCTGCCCCAAAGTTCACCTACACCCCCAAGATGCTAGAAGCTAAAATGTTAGTTCTTACAGTGCCTACTGAGGTCTGAAAAGGAAGAACTCATTGCAAGCTTCTGGCCTGCCAGGGACCTCCCCCCTGCTCTGTTCCAGCACCCAGGGCCTGCCCAGGTAAGGAAGGCTGGGGGCGGGGTGTGTGTAGGAAATCCCAGGAGAACAAAGAATGCAAGGGGCAGTTAGAGGTAATAACATAGCTGGCCTGCTCCCATTTTCAGGTGCCTCCAGGACCCTGGGGAGGGGAAGGGTTCTCAATTATACAAATGAGTTGGCAACAGAACTTGAGAATGATGATGATGGAGGAGGGGGCACTTGACACCCAGCGGATGCTGGATGCAAACAGAGCAGGCGGGCCCTACAAAAGCTTTGTCCCTATGAACACACAGGACCTATGGGCAATTTACAAGCACTTTCGACTCCGTGCCGTGTCCATTTCACTACTTACACCTACATGGATAAGGTGAAGCTAGAGGTCTGGGCACACTGGGGGAAGGGGCAAATGCATGGGCACCAGTGGTACCCATGACTTTAGCTTCTCCTAGGGGAACTCCCACTTGCTCCTGGGCCGGCAGCTAGCTGGGGACTCTCAGGAATCTATCTCCCCTCCTCGGTTTCTGAAGTTGGATTCGGTGTCAGGTCCTTGAAGCTGCACCGATAAAACGCCATTGCTTACCCTCTTTTAAGTTTGCACATCCAGCTTTAGGATGAAGCTGCCATTTGAAGTGTGGGCTCAGACGCCCACTCCCCTCTCTTGTTCCTAACTCTCCAGGCAGGGGTGAAGACAGGGCAAGGACACACCTCCACCCGAGCCTCCCACACCCCAGGGGCACAGGGCGCAC